CTCATATACGGTCGCTCAACACAAAGCTGAAATGTGAAAGTGGGAAAATTTGTAGAATACGGCACATTATTCCAGAAAAACTCTACAAAGAACTGTACTACACACTATTTGAATCACACTTGCGATTTGGGATATCAGTATGGGGTGGCCTTAGTAACAACAGGCTTGAACCAATATTTATCACTCAGAAGAAATGTGTTAGAATACTATTTGGTAACCGAGAGGCGTACTTAGAAAAGTTTAGAACTTGTGCTAGAACACGAAGTAAAGACAAGCAAAAATTAGGAAGCGACTTCTATGAAAAACAGCACACAAAACCGCTATTTAAGAAAAATGGTTTACTAACCATACACAGTTTGTTCAAACACACATGTTTATTGGAAATGTTCAAAATCAATAAATTAGAATCCCCAGTCCCACTCCTAAATCTATTTAACAGATCATCAAGACGTGCTGATCGATTCATCACTCCAACCCCATCCACCTCCTTCATATATCAATCGACAAAAATGTGGAACGATTGTAGAAACACTGCTAGCAATATCAACTTCTCTACATCAACGAACCTTGTGAAATCCACAATAAAAAAGGAGTTACTCGGCATGCAGTCCAGGTACGACGAAATAGATTGGTGTGAACTGAACTTCGATTCCAACGAACTGAAATTCTAATGTCTACTCAATGAAGATATGCTGAGCGCTAAAGCCGATTAAAATGTTAATGTCTAAAGTATAAAATTTCGGCGGTCACGCCGCGCATTTTGCGCGCTGTGCCGCTATTTTTGGCCCATCTTATCAGATATTATTTACAATGTACTCGCACAGTACATGCAGGGCATGCCTCAAGATCATATTAGTGTAGGAATCATTATGTTTTCAACAATTCATTATATGTCGAATTCAGCAGTGGGTCCTCTCTTCGTCCGGTTTGTGTGTTTGTCGCCTGTCTGGACTCTCGTAGTCATGTAATTTTTAATTTTTAATTTCTAATTTGTTATTTTAATTTTAATTTTAATTTTTCAATTTTCTAAATGTGTGTTCTGCTCCGGGACTCGATTACCGTATCGGCTTTCTTGAGACTGTAAATTTGGAAAGCCAACTATGCGGGGCGCCTGCCCACCGGCACTGAAGAGTGATCAAAGAATTAACTAAAATTTCCTAATATAACGATTGAATATAGAGTTGTTTAACCGGCGCGGCCATGGGTGTGTGGCATAGCTTTGGCTGCACACCTATGACTGCGCTGTTGCTGGTGGACAGGCGCAGTTTTTGTTGTGCAGTAGTGTTGCAAGAGAATAAAACCAACTTATTATGTACTAAATGGAATCAAGTAAAGAATATTATTGACTATATTTGATAACGATGAATTGTAAATTTCGATCAATTTATATTTTTCGGTCTCCAATTATTGAACTGCGGAAGCTGGTTGCCTCAACAATGTTGACTATGCATGGTATGACTGAATTGTAAAAACGTGATAATTGAACGAAAAATAAATGATGAACATGATTCAAAAACTGTAAACCACCAAATGAATTATCGCTTAAATTTAAATAAGTATTTAAACAAAAACCACCATGTGCCGTTAAGCAGCAGGGCGCGGCTCATCTGGGCCACAGCAAATCGGCGAAAATGGGTTCGAAAAAGCCACTATTGGCACTCGAGTCCTTGATCTTTCCGATGGTTCACTGGGGCTTTTGAGCTGCCGTCCTTCAGCTTCTGTAAACTGAAATTACTACCAATCCAAGTTGAAGCAATCAGCCGACGCGCGGCTTTTATGGTTATATATGATATGTTTAATCTGTAATAAAGATCAAAATTCAAATTTGTTTCTCTAAAAAATTTGTTTCTCTATGACCCGCCGCGCACGAGTGCGAGGCTCCCCCTGTATTGTCGAAACTCTATAGTGAAGCGACCGTGGGGGTCACCACGTGATACAACATGACATAGGGGTAAAATGCTCCCCTGACGAAATATTGGCGAAAAACTGTCTTGATCACGTGATATGACCGTATACGGAAGTTAGTCTAATTTATCGTTAGGGTTAGGGTTTCAGCATATTGCTTTTAGGAAAACAAATTTTAGGAAAACAAATTTAAATTTTGGTATTTATTAATAACAATCAAAACATATCATATCATAAAAATAAAGCTGCGCGTTGGTTGACTGCCTCAGTAAGGTGAATAATATAAGCTCGAAGGTGCCCTGCGCATTTACAGAACCTCATGCGGCGATCACATGATCATGAGGACCTGTGAGCGCCAAATTTAATTTAGAGTTTTTAGAAATCATACATCATTACGAGTTACTCATGCTTTTTTAATTTTTATAGGAGTGTAGATTGTCAGGTATTTCATTCATTCATACTTAGTCGGTTTAAAGCTGTTATATTTATGTTTAGAACTCACTATTGTTTAAACTATGAAAGCAGAACGTAGGTAATGGACAATATACCGACGACAATACCAAGGACCCAAGTGCCACAATGACTTTTCCGGATCCGTTTTTACCGAGGGCTTATCCACCAGTTACTCATGCTGCAAGTATAGTCTGATAATATTTATTTGTTTTATTCTATAACAAGCATTCTGTAAATTGGAGTGTCGTATTTATTATAAAAGAGCCAGCCAACCTCCGCATTATAATCTTTTGTGTGCCAAGTTCGTTTATAAAATCTTATCATATAATAAAATTGATCCAATAATCTTAGATGAACGGTATATATATCATAGCTCATCGTTATTAAAATCCCAATGGATGAATTAATCAAGTAATGTTCCCTTCCAACACAACTAAACAACAAACAAATGCTTGCTCACCAGTGGTGACGCAATCGTAGGGGCATGCAGTTATTTCGGATAACTCTCACCCCGACGACAGCGTCGAAAAATAATCAAATTATGCATTTGCGCCATACTGGACACATTTTATACTTAATATTCTACAGTTTGTAGAAATTAGTGTTATCTACTGCAGTAAGCTTAACTGGCGAGCAAGCATCGTCCCACTAGGCCGGGACGAAAATACCGAGTCGAATCACAGAAAGTTAACCATAAACTAATGATAAATATAAGAGCTCGGACATCGACAAAAATCACACACTCCAGACGACGGGGGAAGAGAGGAAGGAAAGCTGCTGGGCTCAACAAATTTTGTTATGGATTGGGTTAAGGTTAGGGTTGGGATCAGATGAGAGGGTTAGGGTTTCGAATAGTCGTTCAGGACCAGCTAGATAAGAGAAGGGGTTGAAAAAGTCACGTGACAGTCGAGTGTAGAGTGATTAATCATCATTCATAAATTTCACTGTTTCAATTAATATAAAGTTGTAGGTTTATAACCTACCAGGACGCGCGCCGAATTGGATTCGTCGACTTCACCTAACCATGTGCTTTCGCGCCACTGCGGGCGCGCCTGTTTCACAAGTCAAGAGGCGGGCGCACGCTACTGCAAGCGCAAGGGCTCTGGATAGAGCAAAGCGCGTCACGCAGTACGCGTATACACATGGCTATGTGAAATGATTATGGACATAAATATAATAGCCTTAGTCCTTTAAACTCTTGTAATGCATGCAAGAGGCCCACATACAGCTGGACGTTATCGTGTTACACATTGAATTTGCATTATTCACACTTAGAGGCAACTTTTGGTACCAAATTTATCAAAATCAAAGACAACAAAATTCTGTGCCAACTCATGGCGCCTATTACATATATAAATCGGTTTCTTGCATTTTTAACCAGGTAAAATCAGTCCAATCATTTTGAAACCACTTTTAATCGATTCTACGGTCAAAAATACGTCTAGTATGGTGTATATGGGGTCCCTAGCGTATCGAGCAGACAATGCCCGTAAGAGCCTCTACTAATATTAATAGACTATTAATGATTAATCAATTTTACACCGTAGTATAAAAATCGAGCACTAAAGCAAATATCGTTACATTTTCACAATAATACGTTATGAAATTTTGTGTTATTGTTGCATTTTAGAACATGACATCTTTTGCCTCTATTTGATTATTGTTTTTGGAAAACAATTTTATTATTGTTTACTATGATTTCATGCATCCAAATTGATTTGGGGTTGCATGCTTTATCCCTAAAAAGTCGAATCTGTACTACGTGACATACTCATGCACCATAGTCTAGTACACTGAGAACCTAATCAACTAGTTGATTCTTGTGCTGTGCCATATCACGTGATCTGATAATCACTCAATCAGGTTTACTGATAAACAAAAATGCTTGAAAACTTCGTCATTTTGTCTCTTTAATTCACATCATTTTTTGGATCAGTTGCAGCATTTAATGATCATATGTAATATACTAGAATAGAGTTTCTGGAATGTTTGCAAAAAAATACAGGTTGATTCAAATAGAATGTTGGGATTTACAATGGCGCTCCATCTTTGCATATTTAGATAATAAAAATATTTAAAAATTAATTTTGGTCAAATGGGCATGGGCATCAATGAGCATTGATGTCTTGAGGGCTTTGCCCATTTATCAAATCCTTAAAAACGTCCGAAACTTTAGTTTAAATGAAAATAATATAACACCATTGCGTTCGCCGTCCTCAAATTAATATAAGGACTGATTTTGACCAATTTCAACCAGACAATTATGAAAATGAAGCTAATTTTGCACATTTATTCCTCAAATTTTTGTTCAAATGGGCATGGGCATCGATGGGTTGCCTGCCCCCCCCCCCCATCAAAGTAACAAGTCTCAAATATGAAGCATGGCTATGTAATAGGTTGGAAGGTTGTATACTAACTTTTGACCTCCCCCAGCTCAGCCTGTATCTTCATTAAATGGAGGAGAAATGCCTTTTTAAGCTTTATTCAGGCAGGCACTAGTCCCCTCTCCCCAAGTTACTAGTCTCAAATATGGAACATGGCTATGTAATAAGTTGGAAGGTTGCATACTAACTTTTGACCTCCCCCAGCTCAGCCTGGTCCCATTTGTCAATGCCTCATTATAATAATGTATGTTTCAATAGGATAGCAACGTATTACTGTCGCTGATGATACAACCATTCTTTCACCACAAATCTTGAAAATTGAATTGACTGAGAATGCCACCACCACCACCACCGCCACCTCCGCCACCACCTGCGGCACCAAAACCACCTGCAGCCCCAAAGTAAGTCAATGCAATCTTTATGGTCATAAGTAATAATTAATCATTTTGTTTTGTTCGAAATTGATGTATTGTAAAGTTGAAAGATTAGGTTAGGATTAATTAAAACTGCTAAATGGAATTTGAAACCTCTGGCAACACTTTACAGCAAAATTTTCTACACTGATATTTTTCTCAGAGCAGCAAAAGGTAAACCAACGGGTGGGGGTGGAGGGGACAGGAACAACTTATTGGCTTCTATTCAAGGTGGAGCAAGGCTTAAGAAAACCGTCACCAACGACAGAAGTTCACCAATAGTTGGAGGTGTGTGATGATTTATTGATATTTTAAAATTTTAAAGCATCATTTACAAATTTCTTACATGCTGTAATAGAGTAATAGGTCTGATCATTGATGTGAAAATAATAATTGGAATTAACAACTTAACAATTTTCATAATTGCAGGAACAAAGCCCTCTGGGGGTGGCATTGGCCCACCTGGAGGTGGCGGCGGTGGTAGTGGTGGAGGAGGAGGAGGAGGTGGAGGAGGTCCTCCCATGGGTGGTATGGGCGGTATGGGAGGGTTATTTGCTGGCGGAATGCCAAAGCTGAAGCCTGCTGGTCAAAGAGGTTTCCTTTCTTATTTAACAAGCTTATTCCCTGCAATATATAGTGTGTTTGAGCAAATTATCTTGGTCATATATCAATCCTCAATTTTCTTTCTCATACACTTATCTTCAGGCGCTCCTAGAACAGGTGGTGCTATGAAGCCACCTGGTGCTTTGAGATCAGCTGAGCCAAAGCCTCCTGCCCCAGTCAATGACAGAAGTGGATCTGGATCCAATCAGCGAGGTGGTTTTCCTCCTCCACCACCATCCAATGATCGAGGTGGCCCTCCTCCTCCTTCAGCTCAGCGAAGTGGTCCCCCTCCTCCACCAGCTCAACGAGGTGGCCCCCCTCCTCCGCCAGCTCAGCGGGGTGGTCCTCCTCCATCACCAGCTCAGCGAGGTGGCCCCCCTCCTCCGCCAGCTCAACGAGGCGGCCCACCTCCACCACCTTCAAACTTACGTGGCCCACCAGCTCATCGAGGTGGCCCCCCTCCACCACCAGCTCAGCGGGGTGGCCCCCCTCCACCACCAGCTCAGCGAGGTGGCCCCCCTCCACCACCAGCTCAGCGGGGTGGTCCTCCTCCGCAATCTCAGAGAAGTAACCCTCCTCCTCCTCCTCCTGCTAATAATAGAAGCGGACCTCCTGCTCCACCACCTTCCAATAGAGGAGGTCCTCCACCCCCTCCTTCACGGGGTGGCGCCATGCCTCCCCCACCCGCTAGAGTTGAGGTACCTTCTGATTCTGTATCTCCTAAAAAATCTCGCTCAAACTTTTTAAAGAACATTTTCTCCTCACCTAAAAAATCACCCAAAAATGAGCACAGTCTAACACCTCCCCCTTCACCTCCGCCGCCCCCACCAAGCATTCCACAAGCACTTTCACCAAGCATTCCACAAGCACCTCCATCATCAGGTGGTGCTTTACTAAGCTCTATCCAGGCAGGTACTAGTTTGAAGAAAACAATAACTAATGATAGGAGTTCTCCGATGTTAGCGCCAGGAGGCTCTAAATCAGCTAATAAACAGTCGCCTTTGAGACCTCCAATCTCAAGTCATTCTAAATCATCTCAGCGACAGCAAGCACCTTCACCCCCAGCATGGACACCAGCACCTCCACCAATTAGAGCACCTCCATCAATTAAAGCACCTCCACCACCACTAGCTTCTTCGCAAGTGGGAGCACCTATATCCTCATCAGGTGGAGGAAAAAATGCCCTTTTAAGTTCTATTCAGGCAGGCACTAGTCTGAAGAAAACAGTAACAAATGATAGAAGTACACCCTTAGGGTCAGGAGGGACTAAAACAGCCTGTAGACAGTCGCCATTAACACCTCCAATATCAAGAAACACTGCTAGTTTCCCTAACAAATCTACCCAAGCAAGGGCGCCTCAACCAAAAACAAATGTACCACAACGAGCCCCACCTCCACCACCACCACCAGTTTCTTCACCAGTGCGAGCACCTATATCTTCATCAGGTGGAGGAAAAAATGCCCTTTTAAGTTCTATTCAGGCAGGCACTAGTCTGAAGAAAACAGTAACAAATGATAGAAGTACACCCTTAGGGTCAGGGGGGTCTAAACCAGCCCGTAGACAGTCGCCATTAACACCTCCAATATCAAGAAACACTGCTAGTTTCCCTAACAAATCTATTAAAGCACCTCCGCCATCACGGACGCCTCCACAAGGATGGGCACCTCCACCACCTCAAATAAATGCACCACAACGAGCCCCACCTCCACCACTAACAAATGTACCACAACGAGCCCCACCTCCACCTCCACCACTAACAAATGTACCACAACGAGCCCCACCTCCACCTCCACTACCATCAACACCACCACCTCCACGACCATCAGCTTCTTCACCAGTGCAAGCACCTATATCTTCATCTGGTGGAGGAAACAATGCCCTATTAAACTCGATTCAGGCAGGCACAAGTCTGAAGAAAACAGTAACAAATGACAGAAGTACACCATTGTTAGGGTCAGGAGGGTCTAAACCAGCTCCTAGACAGACTCCTTTAACACCACCAATTTCAAGAAGCACTGCATCTCAGCCAGGCAGGACACCTCCACCATTAAGAGTGCCCCCATCTCCAATTTCTCCACCCAGTCATGCGCCCTCACCATCTATTGATAGTCCTCCCAAGGCGTTTTCCCCAATGAATTTCTCGCCAGCACGCCCTGCGCCACCACCACCAACCTCTAGAGGAAGCCCTCATTCACCAACAACACAGCACTCTAGAGGAAGCCCTCATTCACTAACAACACGGCACTCTAGAGGAAGCCCTCATTCACCAACAACACAGCACTCTAGAGGAAGCCCTCATTCACTAACAACACGGCACTCTAGAGGAAGCCCTCATTCACCAACAACACAGCACTCTAGAGGAATCTCTCATTCACTAACAACACGGCACTCTAGAGGAAGCCCTCATTCACAAAGAAAAAGGTTCGCACCTTATCTTAAATTGTTTTGTCCAGGTGAACGATATGAGTAACGGACTGCCCCCACCCCCTCCCCCTTCTTCAAATAGGTAAATATTTAGTGCTTAATTTTGTGCTACATAGTTCAATCCCAGTTCAACATTCAGCACGTTTCTTGGTTGATATAATTAATTATCGCTATTCGCTAACTTGTTGGCAGTAAATTAGCATAACCGTCCTAAACCTAAAGTTATTGTCTCTACTGCTTCATGCCTACCCGAGCAGTATAAACCCTCTGTAACACCTACAGCTCACTTACCGTGCTACTTTGTACCCAGTAAACATACATTTGTTACTCAAGAAAACAACAATTTTATTTAGTTTAGTAAAAAGTAGTTGCTGGTGAGAACCTCATGAAAATATAAAACAGTAAATGTTATAGTGCAATATGACTATACACATACTGGTAGTAACTGTGCTGTACATTAGAGGTCTCCAACATTATATTTCCGACAAAATTCAGTTTAAGATAACCAGGAAGTTTGATTTTGTCGAAAATTATATCAATGGAACAAAAGTCACATTTTATGTGGTACATCATATCCTGTAGAAGTCTCCAGTTAGACCCGCTATCCGTACGGCGGGGTTCCACTGACGGACGTCCCAAGCCTCCCGGCAGTCCTAGGCCGGTGGGCAGTCCGCGGACCCCGCTGAAGTCTCCACGTGTGTTTGAGTCGCGCAGTTTCAGTGGGAGCCTGCCTAACTTGTGAGTTACATGTTGTTACCACGGTAACCATGTTGTTACCACGGTAACCATGTTGTTACCATGGTAACCATGTTGTTACCACGGTAACCATGTCGTTACCACGGTAACCATGTTGTTACCACGGTAACCATGTTGTTACCACGGTAACCATGTTGTTACCATGGTAACCATGTTGTTACCACGGTAACCATGTTGTTACCACGGTAACCATGTTGTTACCATGGTAACCATGTTGTTACCATGGTAACCATGTTGTTACCATGGTAACCAAGGAATGAGAGGGGTGTTCTCTGATTTTGTTTGATATAACCAGCCAGGAAAATGTACAGACAATATGAATTCTTGTGATTTTCAGACAAGTAATGTTTAAATCGTATCAGAGATTCCTTTGATTCAAGTAAACTCAAAGTGTTGTAGCCTTGAACTCTGTGCTTACTGAAAAGAAATTGAGGTTGGGCCAAAATCAGATACAATGTCCGGGGTAAAGCTAATTGATTGATTAAGTTAGTCCCGGATTTACTGATCCGGAGTTCGGTGTTTTACTGTAATAACAAAGCCCCCCTGCGATGGAGTCCGGATCACTATTGAAGCTTGACTATAATTTCCAAAAGAGATTGATCGCTCATATTTTATAATTCAATTCAGTTATAATTTAATTTGCATTGACAACTCACATTTATTTATAATTATTCAATTGTAAAACACTGATCCCTTGATTGATAATTGTGCTAAAAAGGAGCTAATTATATACTGATTGCTAATTTAAGGCTAATTTTGTACTTTGTCTTTAACAATGATTTGTTAATCATCAAACCATCAGTGATTACACAGGACACAACGCAACAGATGAGTATGTGATCTCGCTGCTCTGTTATAGTGACTGTTCTAATTAATGTCACGTGTTGTGTGACGTCATGTCACGTGTTGTGTGACGTCATGTCACGTGTTGTGTGTCGCCATGTCACGTGTTGTGTGACGTCATGTCACGTGGTGTGTGACGTCATGTCACGTGGTGTGTGACGTCGCGCTGAGTTGCTGTTTAATTTCCGTGTTGTTCTACTTGATTTTTATCAGCTGGTCCAGATACATATCTTAATGATCTCAAAGCTTTGATTTTAAAAAGATATGATGGAAATTCGCAGTGTACCATGTATTATAGTATACGATACATTGTAATTGTACATCCTATTTTTTACACAGCCAGTATAACTAGTAACTACTTACTATATTGTTAAAGTACTCAGGGCAAAACTTTACATTCCCATATCTGAAGAGAAGAGGAGTCTATATAAAGAGGAGTCTATAATATCGGCCTAGAATTTGTTATACAGTTAAAGTTAACAGCATGTCCCGATTCACATGATTATTACCAGCAGCTGATTCGTTAAAAACATGTGACAGTTCCGATGTTAAAACTGTACATAACTAGTTTAAAAACAGTAAGTGTGAATATTATTCCAGTAGCAGTAGTGAAAAGCTCTCGTTTCATCAGCGCAGTGCCAGTGTCACGCGGCGCAGCTCCAAGCGAAAGTTAGTGTGTGTGAGCGTGGTGAAATGCATGCGGAGGATCAATGATACACATGTGTGTAATTACATTTTAATTAATTGTGTAATTACATCGCTCTGCGTGGGGCTTGTTAGATTTCTCTTCTTATTTTGCTCACAGCACAATCCGTCATTACCAGGGACTTGTTGCCATGGTAACAAGGGACTTGTTGCCATGGTAACAAGAGACTTGTTGCCATGGTAACAAGGGACTTGTTGCCATGGTAATCAGGGACTTGTTGCCATGGTAATCAGGGACTTGTTGCCATGGTAACAAGGGACTTGTTGCCATGGTACCCGGGATTTGTTGCCATGGTACCCGGGACTTTTTGCCATGATAACAAGGGACTTGTTGCCATGGTAATCAGGGACTTCTTGCCATGGTACCAGGGACTTTTTGCCATGGTAACAAAGGACTTTTTTCCATGGTAATCAGGGACTTGTTGCCATGGTACCAGGGACTTGTTGCCATGGTACCAGGGACTTGTTGCCATGGTAACAAGGGACTTTTTTCCATGGTAATCAGGGACTTGTTGCCATGGTAACGAGGGACTTGTTGCCATGGTAACAAGGGACTTGTTGCCATGGTAACAAGGGACTTGTTGCCATGGTAACAAGGGACTTGTTGCCATGGTAATCAGGGACTTGTTGCCATGGTAATCAGGGACTTGTTGTCATGGTACCCGGGACTTGTTGCCATGGTACCCGGGACTTTTTGCCATGATAACAAGGGACTTGTTGTCATGGTAACAAGAGACTTGTTGCCATGGTAATCAGGGACTTGTTGCCATGGTACCAGGGACTTGTTGCCATGGTACCAGGGACTTTTTGCCATGGTAATCAGGGACTTGTTGCCATGGTACCAGGGACTTTTTGCCATGGTAACAAAGGACTTTTTTCCATGGTAATCAGGGACTTGTTGCCATGGTACCAGGGACTTGTTGCCATGGTACCAGGGACTTTTTGCCATGGTAACAAAGGACTTTTTTCCATGGTAACAAGGGACTTGTTGCCATGGTAACGAGGGACTTGTTGCCATGGTAACAAGGGACTTGTTGTCATGGTAACAAGAGACTTGTTGCCATGGTAATCAGGGACTTGTTGCCATGGTAATCAGGGACTTGTTGCCATGGTACCCGGGACTTGTTGCCATGGTACCCGGGACTTTTTGCCATGGTAACAAGGGACTTGTTGCCATGGTAACAAGGGACTTGTTGTCATGGTACCAGGGACTTGTTGACATTGTACCAGGGACTTGTTGTCATGGTACCCGGGACTTGTTGCCATGGTAACAAGGGACTTGTTGCCATGGTAACAAGGGACTTGTTGCCATGGTAACAGTGACCGGTATTATTAATGTAGCACCGAGTGAACAATGAAAATGTGTGTGATAAAGCGTGGGATTGCGTGATTGAAATGCTCTAATTCTCAGATCGGTAATACATTCTGCTGTACGGATCAGGTAAATTATATTAAACGTACACACATTCTGTTGTTACATCTGTAACATAATATGAAGCACATTACCTTGTACTTCCTTGCTTTTACATCTTATCTTGCATATTTTATTTGGCTTACATAATATTATCTTCCTATTTTCCCGTTTCCTAATTTAATTGGCAGCACTTTATGTGTCTTAAATTTACTTTAATATGTCTCAAATCTCGTTAGAAATGTAACGCCGTTCTTAAGCTCTACTCTCGGTGACTATGTGATATGTCGCACTAAATCCGTGCCTTTGATCATATTATGTTAAATTAAGCACAAAGAAATCAATTTCCCATCCACTAATACTTTCTATTGAGAATTTTGTTTCAATTTTGTTTCAATTTTGTTACAATTTTGTTACAATTTTGTTACAATTTTGTTGCAATTTTGTACATTGGAATGTGGTAAAATGTAATGCATACCAAAAACCACCTGCAGTTTACTAGTTATTACATTCCATTTCCTGAATCCCCCTCCAGTTGAACTAACCGCTTACTAAAATGGTGTAGAATAAAGGGGCACCCATTTAATTAATGTTTTCGGTTTTAACTTAATTCCCTACTGCATATAATAGTCGACTGCACGTGCTGTATGTTCGCTGAAAAGCACTAACTCATCATTAATGTATTAATGTATTTAAATTGTATTAAAAAGTTAATGTTTTATATAAATCTCCTTCCCTCAAAGTACCACGTTTTGATTTTAAATGTACAAATTACTCTGCTAATTTCCTTGTAGTTGATTCTTGTGGACAATAATCTTAGTACTCTATCAGAGTTAGTGTTCAGGCGTCCTCATTACCTGCACTGCCTAATTAACTAATTAACTAATTATATAATTGTTCTCAGAGCCCCCGCTCCTCCTCCCCCGGCTGTAGATCCTCCTCCTCCGCCGCGCCGCGGTTCTGGCGCTCCTCAGCGCGGATCTGGTGCCCCACAACGGAGCAGTTTACATGTAAGTCTGGGATTTTAACGTTCTCTCAGCAACACTGAGAGTATATATATTTCTCTGTAGTGATGTCATTAGTGCTTTGTGTATTGTACTTACATTGGGAGTTTCCTCTCCCCTTACCATTGATTCTAGTTTACAATCCAGCTAAACTGTAACTGTAAACTGTAGATCTTGTGGGTTTGATATAGAAACAATATGAGCTTGTAATAAGGGAGAATATATACAGGGTGGCCCAGAAGTAACTACCCACACGCAACCCTTTAATAACTCACGTAATTCTTCTTAGAATTGCACAGAAATTTCAGAGATTATAGATATGGGTCAAACGTAGATTTCCTGAAATTTGTGTTATGTTAGTTGTGTTATGTTAGTTGTGTTATGTTAGTTGTGTTATGTTAGTTGTGTTATGTTAGTTGTGTTATGTTAGTTGTGTTATGTTAGTTGTGTTATGTTAGTTGTGTTATGTTAGTTGTGTTATGTTAGTTGTGTTATGTTAGTTGTGTTATGTTAGTTGTGTTATGTTAGTTGTGTTATGTTAGTTGTGTTATGTTAGTTGCGTTATGTTAGTTGTGTTATTAAGTTGTGTTATGTTAGTTGTGTTATATTAGTTGTGTTATGTTGGTTGTGTTATGTTAGTTGTGTTATGTTAGTTGTGTTATGTTAGTTGTGTTATGTTAGTTGTGTTATGTTAGTTGTGTTATATTAGTTGTGTTATGTTGGTTGTGTTATGTTAGTTGTGTTATGTTAGTTGTGTTATGTTAGTTTTGTTATGTTAGTTGTGTTATGTTAGTTGTGTTATGTTAGTTGTGTTATGTTAGTTGTGTTATGTTAGTTGTGTTATTAAGTTGTACTTGTGTTATGTTAGTTGTGTTATTTAGTTATCTTACGAACTAACAGTATTTGTTTGCAGGGTATGCCACCGCCACCTCCCCCTCAAATGCCTAACGGTAAGTCAGGATGTGATTACCTGTAGTAAATAAGTTGCATAATTGAACACTTTCGCTTTTTGTCAAAATATCGAAATTTGTAGATGATTTCATTTCTATAATTATCCGAGAAATCACAAACGTTGCTTCTAGCAGCTTCTAACCCCATAAAATGATATAATATATGGTGTGTGAAAGTAACAACATTAAGTGTGGTGCTTGTACCTACAGTAATGTATTCAATGTTAGTAATACAGTTAGCAACATTGGCTTACACATATCATTATTACACAGTACACATTAAACACTTCATAATATACACTTTACACACACTTTATATACACTGTTGTAGTGATTTTGTAGTGCTGTGTATTACACGTCACACATACTCAATGTAGTACTAGTGACACTTATAAGATAATAGTCACACACACGAAACTCAAAACTGAACTTTCGATCGGTGACTATTGGAAATCCTACTATTTGAAATCCTACTAGATTTAGCTATATTAAGTGATGGACCAAAATCATGTCATGAGTTAAATTTTCCAAAAAATCACCCAAATTACGTCCAGTTACATTTCATACACCAAGACAAACTACTAGTTAGAAAAATAGTTTAACTTCACCTAAATGTGACAGCGTGTCAGCTATATAGTAGATAAAACAGCGAGCTGTGTAAACTAGTGTAAACTAAATATAACCTGGTTAATTTGAACATCGTGGGAGTGATCACGTCATGTCACGTGGTGTGTGACGTCATGTCACGTGGTGTGTGACGTCACGTCACGTGGTGTGTGACGTCATGTCATGTGTAGTTGAACACAGTGAACTAGTGTAAACTAAATATAACCTGGTTAATTTGAACATAAATATCAGGTCTGACCGGAGTGATCTGATGGCAATTAGATCAAGGAAATTAGTTGTGTTAAATAATTGCACTGTAACAATCCTACACTCATCTGTAACAAGCGTAGGCAGCAGCGTCATATTTAGTAGCGACCTAGGCAGCAGCGTCATATTTAGTAGCGACCTAGGCAGCAGCGTCATATTTAGGAGCGACCTAGGCAGCAGCGTCATATTTTGTGGCGACCTAGGTAGCAGTGTCATATTTAGTAGCGACCTAGGCAGCGTAGCCATCATATTTTGTAGCGACCTAGGCAGCAGCGTCATATTTAGTAGCGACCTAGGCAGCAGTGTCATATTTAGTAGCGACCTAGGCAGCGTGGCTGTCATATTTAGTGGCGATCTAGGCAGCGTGGCCGGCATATTTTGTAGCGACCTAGGCAGCAGCGTCATATTTAGTAGCGACCTAGCCAGCAGCGTCATATTTAGTAGCGACCTAGGCAGCAGCGTCATATTTAGTAGCGACCTAGCCAGCAGCGTCATATTTTGTAGCGACCTAGGCAGCAGTGTCATATTTAGTAGCGACCTAGGGGGGGGGGGGCCAATGACTACTTTTGGGGACTTGGGGAATTACGTCAACGATTTTACCCCGAGTCCCCATGATTTTTAGTCCCCATTAGTCCCCAAAAGTCTCCATTAGTCCCCATTTAGATTTCAAAAAATCTGGCTTCTCCAGACCAGATCGTAAACTTCTCAAGACTGAAGTCTAGAATATTTATAAATGGTCACTGGACATTCCTGACTTCTTGGGAGCTACTTGAGGGCTGTTAGAGTACCTCAGGTAAATTAGGGGAGGGGGCGGGGGCGACTACCAATGACAACATTGAGTAGACATATTGCATATATATTATACGCTTATTTTATCAGATTGATCTAGTAACACGAGTTGTAGCGCAAGGAAAATGAACGCATTATCAATTTTTCTTATTACTTTTGTATTTATTTGTCTGAAATGATATGCTCAGTAATTTGAAATTGGCATTGGTTTCTTTTGTTTTTGACGATCATTTATGGAAATATTCACAAAAGAGTGCTTGCCAGTGTCGTTCTCCTCCTCCTGAGTCTTCCTCCTGGGACCTTGGTCCTCCTCCTGGTTCCTCCTCCGGACCTCCTGGGTCCTCCTCCTCCTGGGTCCTCCTACTCCTCTTCATCATCCTCCTCTTCCTCCTCGATCATCAGTCCTCCTCCTCAGTCCTCCTCCTCATCCTTCTCGTCAGTCTTCCTCCTCCTCATCAGTCCTCCCCAAGTCCCCCTCCTCCTCAGTCCTCCCCAAGTCCCCATCCTCCTCCTATTCAGTCCTCATCCTCCTCCTCAGTTCTCCTCAGTCCTCCTCCTTGTAAGTCCTCCTCCTGAGTCCTCCTCCTCTTCCTGAGTCCTCCTCCTCCTAGGTCCTCCTCCTTCTCCTCCTCCTTCTCAGTCCTTCTCCTCCTCCTCCTCCTCCCTCTCAGTCATCCTCCTCAGTCATTCTCATCAGCCATCCTCCTCAGCCATCCTCCTCAGCCATCCTCATCAGTCCTCCTCATCAGTACTCCTCCTCCTAGGTCCTCCTCCTTCTCCTCCTCAGTCCTTCTCTTCCTCCTCCTCAGTCCTCCTCCTCCTCCCTCTCAGTAATCCTCCTCAGCCATCCTCCTCAGTCCTCCTCAGTCCTCCTCCTCCTCCTCAGTCCTCATCCTCATCCTCCTCTTCAGTCCTCCTCCTCCTGGGTCTTCTTCCTTCTCTTCATCCTCCTCCTCTTCATCCTCCTCCTCTTCCTCCTCAGTCCTCAGTCCTCCTCCTCATCCTTCTCGTCATTCCTCCTCCTCCTCAGTCCTCCCCAGTCCCCCTCCTCTTCCTATTCAGTCCTCCTCCTCCTCCTTAGTTCTCCTCAGTCCTCCTCCTTCTCATTCCTCATAAGTCCTCATCCTGAGTCCTCCTCCTCTTAGTTCCTCCACCTTCTCCTTCTCCTCCTCAGTCTTTCTCCTTCTCCTCCTCCGCCTCAGTCATCCTCTTCAGTACTCCTGAGTCCTCCTCCCTCTGAGTCCTCCTCAGTCCTCTTCCTGAGATCTCCTCCTCCTTCTGGGTCCTCCTTCTGGGTCCTCCTTCTCCTAGGTCCTCCTCTTTCTCCTCCTCAGTCCTACTCCTCCTCCTCAGTCCTCTTCCTCCTCCTCCCTCTCAGCCATCCTCCTCAGCCATCCTCCTCGGCCATCCTCCTCAGTCCTCCTCAGTCCTCATCCCTCCTCCTCCTGGGTCTTCCTCCTCTTCATCCTCCTCAGTCCTCAGTCCTCCTCCTCATCCTTCTCGTCAGTCCTCCTCCTCCTCAGTCCTCCCCAGTCCCCCTCCTCCTCCTATTCAGTCCTCCTCCTCCTCCTCATCAGTTCTCCTGAGTCCTCCTCCTTCTCATTCCTCCTAAGTCCTCCTCCTGATTCCTCCTCCTGGTTCATCCTCCTCTTAGTTCCTCCACCTTCTCCTTCTCCTCCTCAGTCCTTCTCAGTCCTCCTCAGTCCTCTTCCTGAGATCTCCTCCTCCTCCTGAGTCCTCCTTCTGGGTCCACCTCCTCCTAGGTCCTCCTCTTTCTCCTCCTCAGTCCTACTCCTCCTCAGTCCTCTTCCTCCTCCTCCCTCTCAGTCATCCTCCTTAGTCATCCTCCTCAGCCATCCTCCTCAGCCATCCTCCTCAGTCCTCCTCAGTCCTCATCCCTCCTCCTCCTGGGTCTTCCTCCTCTTCATCCTCCTCAGTCCTCAGTCCTCCTCCTCATCCTTCTCGTCAGTCTTCTTCATCCTCAGTCCTCCCCCAGTCCCCCTCCTCCTCCTATTCAGTCCTCCTCCTCCTCAGTCCTCTTCCTTTTCAGTCCTCCTGAGTCCTCTTCCTCTTCCTCCTGAGTCCTCCTCCTGAGTCCTCCTCCTGGGTCCTCATCCTCCTAGGTCCTTCTCCTTCTCCTCAGTCCTTCTTCTCCTCCTCCTCCCTCTCGGTCATCCTCCTCAGTCATCCTCCTCAGCCATCCTCCTCAGTACTCCTCAGTCCTCCTCCTTCTCTGTCCTCCTCAGTCCTCTTCCTGAGTCCTCCTCCTGAGTCCTCCTCCTCCTCCTCCTGAGTCCTCCTCCTGGGTCCTCCTCCTGGGTCCTTCTCCTCCTAGATCCTCCTCCTCAGTCATCCTCCTGGGTCCTCCTCAGCCATCCTCCACAACCATCCTCAGTCCTCCTCCTTCTCAGTCCTCCTGAGTCCTCTTCCTGAGTCCTCATCCTCCTCCTTCTCCTCCTGAGTCCTCCTCCTGGGTCATCCTCCTCCTAGATCCTCCTCTTTCTCCAATCATACATCTACGTCTCCAGTGTCTCCAATGTCTCCAATGTCTCCAAAAGCTTTGTCTCCAATATCTCAAATGTCCCCAATGTCTCCAATGTCTCCAATGTCTCCAAAAGCTGTGTCTCCAATGTTTCCAATGTCTCCAGGACATGTCTCTGCACCCTATCTTTTCAAAAAAGACAATGGAGACATTGGAGACATGTCACCCCCCCCCCCCCCCCCTTAAAATAAAGATCACCAAGTCTGTTCACAGAACGGCTGTTATAAATACTCATTCACCCATCATCTAACATCTTTAAGTGTATTAGGAGGGTAAGTCGAAGGGTTAATTCATGATTTTTCATTCGATTATAAGATTCAGATAGTTCAGCGAGTCGGCTACTTCTACCTTCACGAGAGCTAAACTTCAATTTACCTCTATCTGAACTGACTTGTACAGTGGTAGAACACATTACAACCGGGCTTATCATTTTACTTTTAAGTCAGATTTATCCTACTCTTATCTTGGAAAAAACATCTCGATCGTATCGTTATTAAACTAACTTGGAAACCATAAATAACTGTCAAAAATTCTGGGGACTTATGGGGACAAATGGTGAATTACGTCAACGAGTTGACCTCTAGTCCCCATGATTTTTAGTCCCCATTAGTCCCCAAAAGTCTCCATTGGTAGTCATTGGCCCCCCCCCCCCCCGACCTAGGCAGCGTAGCCGTCATATTTTGTAGCGACCTAGGCAGCAGCGTCATATTTTGTAGCGACCTAGGCAGCGTGGCCATCATATTTAGTAGCGACCTAGGCAGCGTGGCCGTCATATTTTGTAGCGACCTAGGCAGCAGCGTCATATTTTGTGGCGACCTAGGCAGCATCGTGGCCATCATATTTTGTAGCGACCTAGGCAGCAGCGTCATATTTTGTAGCGACCTAGGCAGCAGCGTCATATTTTGTAGCGACCTAGGCAGCAGCGTCATATTTTGTAGCGACCTAGGCAGCGTGGCCGGCATATTTTGTAGCGACCTAGGCAGCGTGGCCGTCATATTTTGTAGTGATCATATTTTGTAGCGACCGTTCATGTTTTCAGTTAAATGCTGCTTAGGTTACATTTGGACACAAAGGGAAGCACACAGTATTGTATATTATTGTAAATAAACTACATCTTCAGAGCCTGTAAAACATATAAGATAGGCACTCACAAAATTCATATAATCATGATAATCTAACGTAACACTAGCCTATCTCCCAGGTGCTATGGTAGCCCCGGCCCCGCCGCCTCCTCCTCGCAAGGAACCAGCCGATTGGGAGTCCCGCTTCAATTTCAGAACAGAAATACCTCAACCTGATATGTACGTGCCGAGCCCTAAAACATACCCCAGCAAGGACGCTACTATTAGAGGTATGTTACCATGGTTAATATTCATACTATCACATTACTACTTGTACATTACTTGTACATTGCATTGGTAGTACATTACTTGTACATTGGTAGTACATTACTTGTACATTGGTAGTACATTCCAACCGTAATGTTTGTAATTCTTTTCTTCTATTAGTTTGTTGTTTCTCCCATTATGTTTAGATTCTGCATGAAATTCATTTAAGCTACATTTAATAAGACAGTTGGAATAGTAAATCTGCAATCAATTTTAGAATTCCCTTTCATTGAAAAGAAAAAAAAGAGCAAATTTAACTTAAACTGCACATTTTACTGTTTATTGTCCTCTATAGTTTACACACGAGGATTATGGTTGAAATTAGTTTATAATACGATAATATTCAGATTCAGACTCGTTTAATTGCTTTTAATGAATGATTACTCACAATGTGGTATTAATTAGGCTAGTGGGTCTCTCTTCAGTTAAGAATAGCATATAGTGGTACATATAGTCCCTACATAATATTACATATTATACTTTATACATTATGTATAATGTATAATGTATATGTTTTTGTCAAATGAATTCGGTCCCTGAGATGGAGAAGAATTCTAAAACCTACACAAAAAGAGATTTATCTTTTCTACTGTTGTAAGAAAACATATAACATATAGTTTAAATTTGTATAATTGCTACAAGTACTAATCACTCACCACTAACTGTAACAATCTGCCAAGTTCCTTGTAACTTTGTGTTTAAGTTCTACCACTAACTTAGTTAAATATTCACAGTAAGAGACTTAAAACATTGAAGCTTTTGACTTTCGCGATTTAGTAACATTTTAAATATTTGGCAGGTTAAAGGATGAGGGGACCTTAGAATTTACTTTCAAATATTCGCGTTTAAGTCCTGTGAAAGTGTGTAGAATCAAAAAATACGCCGGACTGTGAAATCGATAATTCGTGCAATATCACGCCGCGCTCCTATTGGCTGATAGCAATTTTGGGCTGTGACGTCAATTATGTGTAAGACCAACGTGCGTGCGCGCACACCCTTCGCTCGTGTCAACATTTTGTCCTGTTCTGTTTTACTTACGTCGTGTTACCTTTGGCGTTTGCGAGAGCGGTATCTTTGGTTGCACTGAATTAGTCTAAGTTACGAATAATTCTCTTTAATAGTTAAATGTAACTCAGAAAGGCTTTCTTGTAGTTGTAGTAGGTATTTCTATTTATAAATAGCTAAGATAAGTAGCATCCGCTAACTAAACCACAAACTGCTATTTTGTTTTGACTTGTTTGAAACCCGATATGGACACAATTAAAAATCGGCATATTTCTTTATACAAGAATAAAGGAATGTATTTTATTACGTCAAGAGGGACGACAAACCGCCGCTGTATACTCACGAATACATCCGTAAGCCGATTCCTAAGACATTTCACGGCACTCCTAAGCCCAGCAAGCAAGTCCTGCTAGACGAGCGGCTAACAAGGATGTCAAAGCCTGCTCCAAGTATAGAGCTAGGGTGATAGTTTTATAATGGTACTTATATGCAATGTATTGTAACTGTATTCAACATTACCTAACATTATTATCTCAATGAATTATAGTATCTTATTTGTACATTGAAATATGATAATTGATCAAAAACCAAATATAAATGCCAGATGAAAGTACAGTTTAAAATATGGGTGGCTTATAATTGGATGTATAAAGACACTCTTTATATTTATAGTGAAAAAGCTTTCAAATGAACAAACTTTTAAGACAGCAAAGCGCCGCAACAGAAGATCTAAAAATCGATTGAATGTATGATGTAGTAGAATACATTTTACTAGCTGGCCCTTGGCGCCTCTAGTCCTATCTGAGTGCGCACGTGCGGTTTGGCACTGCGCGTGTACCGGCCTTTAGTTGTACACTCATTTATAATTTACCGTTTTAGTTTGCTGTGACTTGAGTGTAAAGCGTAACGAATGTGGATGTGTTCGTCTGCTATGCTTGGTATAATATTGCTTGGTGTAATAGTTGCAAATCTTGCTTACGTTATAAATAGTGTCACATAGTGAGTTAGAACTTAAAAGCTTGGTGCTTGGTGCTTGTCCAACTGGAATGAAGACATGCATTTCATACCTACCCGATCCGTTTTTATTAGGACCGTGTTGTGTTGATATGACATGTTGATATATCAACTGTGGTACGATACAGGGAGTTGCTAGGTGTTACGTTGGGAGCTATAAATATACATAATTTACATGCCTTTCTGTGTGACTTCAATCTTATTTCAGGTGTATCTCGGCTCATGGTTATCGTAGGGTGATAATTCTTTTTTCAACCGGTCATAAAAAGTCTCCTCTCCATTGGTTATAGGCTTGTTAGTATTGTAAATTGTTTATGTATTCTTAATTAGTAATTTAGTCAGCCCGCACGCTCATTTTACCTGTATTTCTATATGCGCGGATCAGAGCAACTCACATAATTGACGTCACAGGTTCAAATTGTTTTGGCTGGATATCTCGGCGCGCGAATGAAATACAACTTTGCGGATTTCACTAAAGTGGTTTTTACGATTAATGTAATAATATGATTTGCACGAGAAAAAAACTTTTTCTAAGGTCCCCTCATCCTTTAAAATTACTCACTTTAATGTTTGATGAGCTCGCGGTTCTCATATATACTTATTTTTAGTGTTACTAAAGTTTAAAACTATGATAGGAACGTTGATTTCATAAAAGGCGCAGGTTCTATACTAGTCGAGTTGTTTTCATATTAGATCATTGTTTTATATGAATGTATTGCCATGAAATAGCAGTGAAAGATCTGACTCTGTCAGTGGGCTGCATATTTCTTTAACATTACAGTTACATACATGCACACGGGACTTTTCTATATTGCCCTCAACATTTTACATTCCATAAAACCTCAATAAAAACAGCAGTTTAGCGGCCGTAAGCTGTACATGTTGCTTGAAAATATCCCTATATAAAATATGCAATATGAGTCACTAAATAATTTTATTTTAACAAAACCTTACAGCGAAGTCAATGAGGAGGCAAGAAAGACGAGAAAATTAAATTTTGTAAGATTAAACGTGTCGTCATTGTTACGTCATGGTTACAATTGTTACGTCATGGTTACAATTGTTACGTCATGGTTACAACTGGTACCATGGTTACAATTTTTACCATGGTAACAGTTGTAACTTTAGTTACTTTTAACATTGCGCTGTAAGGGGTCTTTGCCTGTTGTCAATTGTAGCTCTCATAACTTTTGGTCAAAATCGCTGAGTAAAGTAAATCGAACTGTTGTAAAGCAGAATAACTTTGCTGAATTGCAAACTATTATTTATTTCATATAGCTGGTTACTGGTTACTGGTTACTGGTTAATGGTTACTGGTTACTGGTTAATCTCAATAATGAGAGGGGGCTGTGTAGGAATTGTTCGCTTTGTGTGCCTAAAGAATGTTAAGTATGTGCAGGGTAAGCTAAATGTCTGCTCATGTCCTGTAATGAAGTTCCTGGTAATACGAGATGTGTAATGTAATCTAAGTACTTGTAAAGTCATGTGATACTACCACACCTGCTGAGTGCAGGAACACAGAGGCATTGTGTGATAAAATGTGGGGATCCGGGACATGTAGGTGTTTACAGGTGTTTACAGGTGTTTATAGGTGTTTATAGGTGTTTGGGTGTGTGCAAACAGTGCAAGTGTGTATATAAAAAGTGTGTATGTAAACAATGTGTATATAATAGTTGTGTAAACACTTGCTAAACAAACAAATGTAAATAAACACAAATCCCGCAGTCGCTAGGAAGTTACATTATAATACCACATAATAACACTGTGACCAGTTTTACAATACTAACTATTAAAGCACAAACAGCTGTTACACTGCTATTGTAATGCAACACTGTTACATTACAATAGTTACACTGCTATTTAATGTAACACTGTTACATTACAATAGTAACACTGATACACTGCTATTGTAATGTAACACTGTTCCTGTCATTAGGACGGAGCACAAGACGGAAGCAAGCTAAAGAACGGAGTGGTTTACCACAGAACATGGCAAGTAACACCAGACCTCTACCTTCAACCCCTGGAAGGGGGGCTCCCGCCCCTGCACCCCCCTTAACTAGAGGACCATCCTCAAACAGGGGGGCCCCTGTACCGCCCCCTTCTAGTAGAGGACCTCCAGCACCGCCCCCATCTAACAGGGGACCTCCATCCACTGGGGGCCGGGCCCCACCTCCTCCGAACTCTAGAGGCCCTCCAGTACCGAGAGGGGGACCACCCCCTATCCCTCGCTCCCAACCCCCACCACCTCCCTCGCGAGTGAACCCCCCTCCACCCCCACCCCCTAGATAGATATTTTAATTGAGCTGATGTTACTTTGATTCTGTTATGTTACAGTATTTCTAAAATCATTGGGCCGTTTTTGTAAGAGTTTTACAAAAAAAGAAAGGGATTTCAGTTCGCCTCTTGTTCAGTTGAATAAATTGGACACCAGTGAGAATAAACAGTACTGATTTGTATTATTGATGATATTTGCGTTGCTGTTAAGTTCAGTTTAATAAATTTACATTGAATTGCAGGATCTATTATTATTAGATCAAAAATATGTAATGTGATTTGTAAATGCCTACTCTTTGAATGACATCCACTTGGAAATTTTACTGTGACGTTTTTGTTAAACGAGAAAATGTCACCTTCTCCGATAATACTATTATATCATTTGGTTCTCGGTGTATAAATAAAGTAATTCACAGCTATTCAGTATATCAACCGATCATTTATTTTTGTATAGACTGAGCTAATTTTGAATAGTTTTTAAAGAATGATACGTTTTTAATGAATGATTCTTTTGGAAAATGATTACCGTTGCAATTGTGAGTTTCATTTATTCGCCATGATGTTAATTAGAGTTTAAATACTTCTGAGGCGTGTGCCTGTAAAGAATGCGAATAGCAATCCCAAAAACGTGTAAACTCTGGCTACGACCGAGTTGATGAATCCAGATTTTTGGAACATTTTTGGAACATTTTTGGAACATGTGCCAAAATTGTGCCAAAAGTGTGCCATGCATTTATTTGCCCTAATGAGCTCTAAATAGTGCCAAAAATAATTGTAAATGATGGATATATTTGCAAGCTAGGTCTAGGGGCCATCGAAAGTAGCATAACATTACCCAGGTTCATGGAATGAACGAAAATGAACAAAAATGAATATTGTCCTAAAAATGCTCAGAACGGTTTAAAATGGGTCGGAAAGTGTTTATATTAGTCCTAGGACCACTCAAACCAAGTTTGGGAATCTCTGCATGTCTAGAACCGATGTTACCAATGTTCCAAAATGTTCCAATTTTGGCACAATAATCCTCCTGAGAATCCAGATTTTTGGAACATGGGCACATCGAAGTATTGGCTGTATTTAAGTGCTGGGAAGCCTCAATTCGGTTTTCTAAGATGGATATAGGTAAAAACTAGGCCTAAGAGCCATCAAAACTCAAATAGCATTACCCAGGTTCATGGAATGAACGAAAATGAACAAACATGAATATTGTCCTAAAAATGCTCAGAACGGTTTAAAATTGGTCGGAAAGTGTTTATATTAGTCCTAGGACCACTCAAACCAAGTTTGGGAATCACTGCATGTCTAGAACCGATGTTACCAATGTTCCAAAATGTTCCAATTTTGGCACAATAATCCTCCTGAGAATCCAGATTTTTGGAACATGGGCACATCGAAGTATTGGCTGTATTTAAGTGCTGGGAAGCCTCAATTCGGTTTTCTAAGATAGATATAGGTAAAAACTAGGCCTAAGAGCCATCAAAACTCAAATAACATTACCCAGGTTCATGGAATGAACGAAAATGAACAAAAATGAATATTGTCCTAAAAATGCTCAGAACGGTTTAAAATTGGTCGGAAAGTGTTTATATTAGTCCTAGGACCACTCAAACCAAGTTTGGGAATCACTGCATGTCTAGAACCGATGTTACCAATGTTCCAAAATGTTCCAATTTTTGCACAATAATCCTCCTGAGAATCCAGATTTTTGGAACATGGGCACATCGAAGTATTGGCTGTATTTAAGTGCTGGGAAGCCTCAATTCGGTTTTTTAAGATGGATATAGGTAAAAACTAGGCCTAAGAACCATCAAAACTCAAATAACATTACCCAGGTTCATGGAATGAACGAAAATGAACAAAAATGGATATATGTCCTTAAAATTCTCAGAACGGTTTAAAATTGGTCGGTAAGTGTTTATATTGGTCCTAGGACCACTCAAACCAAGTTTGGGAATCACTGCATGTCTAGAACCGATGTTACCAATGTTCCAAAATGTTCCAATTCGAGTGGTCTTAGGACCAATACAAACACTTTCCGACCAATTTTAAACCGCTCTGAGCAATTCCAAAGAGTTTACGAAAGAGTCATAAGGCCAATCAACAGACTATTCATTTACTGTACTGTTAAGATGGTTCGGTATTCTGCACCCCTCGTATCGGTTCTGGGCATGCAGTGATTCCATAAACAGTCAGACAGTCACACAATGTACACCCTATTGTATCACATCACTTCGTGTAATAGATGTGTGGAAGCAAATAAAGATGTGATCTGAATAAGGTGATCCGAGCGTAGCAAGGTTCTCCGATCTTATTTGGTGTGATCGGATGTAGAGGCGTAAGATCAGATCAGGTCATCAGCAATAGGATTAACTTAGCAAGCTTGTTGATGAATAAGAAGAGAATAAATAGATAATTAAGTTATACAAATCATTTTCCCTCTCTGTTAACCACAACAACTACAACGACAATGAATCCCTTCACTAAATTGATGAGCCTACCTCTTTATCTACCAGTTCAAAGAAGCACCAGCAGTCCACCTCACTCAACCAACCCCTTCACCAGCAACCTTCAACCCTCAACCAACTCATTCACCACCAGCCTACCTAACGCAACCAACCCCTTCACCAGCAACCTACCTCGCGCCGCTCAACCAACCCTTTCACCTGCAACCTTCATCCCTCAACGAACAAATACAGCTAATGATGTCAAAAATTTATATCAATATATTGGGGGATTATTAAAACCAAAATAGTTGCCCAATAAAATAATTTCTGCCTTCTCTTGGAGGTACGTGTGCTAATTGTACATAATTCTGAATGCAACTTTAAGACTCTGTTGGACGAAAATATTGACTCTTTGCCACCATTTTCTTACCATTCTGAGCGCTTTAAGGAAAATTTTCATTTTTGTTCATTTTCGTTCATTCCATGAACCTGGGTAATGTTATTTGACTTTTGATGGCTCTTAGACCTAGTTTTTACCTATATCCATCTTAGAAAACCGAATTGAGGCTTCCCAGCACTTAAATACAACCAATACTTCGATGTGCCCATGTTCCAAAAATCTGGATTCTCAGGAGGATTATTGTGCAAAAATTGGAACATTTTGGAACATTGGTAACATCGGTTCTAGACATTTTTTTTTTTTTTTTTTTTTTTTGTCGCGACACCCACTGACCACCGTCATATAGAGGTGGCGACCCTCCACTTGGGGAGCGTCCTACTGGAGTCCATCCATCTGCATTAAGCCCCTTCCCTGAGGGCCACTGGATGATAATACCTGCTAAGGTATCAGCCGAATCGGGGTTGCACCTCCGGAGATTTACTAACTTGGTCCCTAGGGAAGTTCTGGGTGGTTACCCTGGCCGCTCAACACCATGAAAGGATGACGCCCGTGCTGAGTAATGCTGGCTCTTGAGACTTGGTGAGACGTAGGTAGCTAATGGCGGTTGCGGGTGTGCTAACGTTTGGATAGTGTGTTAGGTGGTGGGGAACTGTATTGATACTATCTGCCTTATGGTGGCTGAGCTAAAACGTGAGGGTTTGTGACGTCACGTGAGGTGGACTCTCACTCAGTCCAGAAATAACAGGAGCAGGGATCATATTGTACGACACAGGAAATACAGGTTCAGATCCAGGGTCCATTTATGCCATTACACACATTACACACGTTTGGTGTGGTAACTACTATACATTACTCCCATAACACTCCCACAATGTAGCGATACTCCCATTGCACTCCCACATTGTAGCGATACTCCCATTACACTCCCACAATGTAGCGATACTCCCATAACACTCCCACATTGTAGCGATACTCCCATTACACTCCCACAATGTAGCGATACTCCCATTACACTCCCACAATGTAGCGATACTCCCATAACACTCCCACATTGTAGCGATACTCCCATTACACTCCCACATTGTATGTTGTAGCGATACTCCCATTACACTCCCCGAGGGGGCGGCAAATTTGCAAACAGGGGGGCAGCAGAACCCAGCGGGCTAATTAATGTAGAGACTGGCAAGCAGAACGGCTATATTAACAAGTGGTTTAATCCGGTTTGGCTTGTCATGATCGAAATACCGCACCGCACCGCACAGGTTAGTGTCACGTGGGAGTCAGGTGAGTGTTATTGGTACTAGCGGGAAGCAGTTCTGTGCGCGCACCCGCTGTTTATGACTGCGCGCCAATCTTTGCTTATATCTGGGGCGTTAGTCGATCGTTGCCGGTAGAGTCCTGGTACATAAGGGGGCCCACTAGCGCTGTCGGCTCTATAGTAACCCGATGAGCTGGCGTATTCAAGGCCCACCATGGCTTTTGCGAGTTGCCTCGTGAGTTAAACTGGTGTATTCATAGCCCACCATGGCATTGCGAGTCCCCTCGCTAGGCACAAGATTCTTTTATAGACACTAATGCTGCCTCGCCACAAAGTGCAATGCGGACAGACATGAGCCCTGGAAGAACCAGTAAAACCTGACAAGGATTCTCACCCTGTCACGGTTCTAGACATGCAGTGATTCCCAAACTTGGTTTGAGTGGTCCTAGGACTAATATAAACATTTTCCGACCAATTTTAAACCGTTCTGAGCATTTTTAGGACAATATTCATTTTTGTTCATTTTCGTTCATTCCATGAACCTGGGTAATGCTATTTGAGTTTTGATGGCTCTTAGGCCTAGTTTTTACCTATATCCATCTTAGAAAACCGAATTGAGGCTTCCCAGCACTTAAATACAGCCAATACTTCGATGTGCCCATGTTCCAAAAATCTGGATTCTCAGGAGGATTGTTGTGCCAAAATTGGAACATTTTGGAACATTGGTAACATCGGTTCTAGACATGCAGAGATTCCCAAACTTGGTTTGAGTGGTCCTAGGACTAATATAAACACTTTCCGACCAATTTTAAACCGTTCTGAGCATTTTTAGGACAATATTCATTTTTGTTCATTTTTGTTCATTCCATGAACCTGGGTAATGTTATTTGAGTTTTGATGGCTCTTAGGCCTAGTTTTTACCTATATCTATCTTAGAAAACCGAATTGAGGCTTCCCAGCACTTAAATACAGCCAATACTTCGATGTCCCCATGTTCCCAAAATGGTTACAAAAATCAAAATTGGAACCACCTTCACATCGGTTCTAGACATGCAGTGATTCCCAAACTTGGTTTGAGTGGTCCTAGGACCAATGTAAACACTTTCCGACCCATTTTAAACCATTCTGAGCACTTTGAGAATAATGTTCATTTTCGTTCATTTCTGGTCATTCCATGGGTAATTTTATACGACTTTTGATGGCTCCTAGGCCTAGCTTACGGCTATATCCATCTTAGAAAACCGAACTGAGCCTTCCCAGCACTCAAATACGGCCAATACTGCGATGTGCCCATGTTCCAAATTTATGGATTCATCTAAAATTATCGACGTTGAATTGTAGCAAATTACTAGCAAAATACTCCTTCAGGAATGTTAAAAGCAAACCTGTTTTCGCGCGCACGTACCGTCATCTTGCATGCGCGCATAGTGGA